AACTGAGAGAAGTCATGAAAATCCAGTGCTAACACTGGCAAAATCATAGACATTTATTCCAACAAAAGCTCAAATGATGGATTACATGAGGAACACATAAAGTGGCCCAAAAATCTCTATTGAAGATAAATTATTATATACAGGAAAAGCACTGCCCAGACAAACAAATTCAATTCAGACTAAGATGTCACTGTATCAAGCACAGTAGGAAATTATAAGAAGTCATGCCCCCTGTCTCAAATAATTTGCATTTAAGATGATAAAAGGAATCCACAGATGTTGAATAGTTGGTATTTCTATGGTCTGTTTGCAGACAAGGCATGGACAAAAACAGAGATGGAAAAAAAAAAGTAATTTTTTCCTGATTAATTGATCAGGAGAAAATACGCACCAGTACTTATCCTAACAGACCTCTACAAAGCCAAGAATTGTGGGGTTTTCCCAAATGTGCCACTGAGCTCTTACAAATATTTTTAACAATGGGACTGTACAAATACAGATTGCTTTGTGCCTTCCTGGACACAAACTAGTAAGGCGGAGCTAGTCACTCATCAAGTCTAGCTGTAGGAGCTTCAGCATATAAAAGACCTTTAATTTTTCCCACCAAATTCTGCAGTGTTTTTAAGACTAACAAATTACAATGATATTTTGTTTTGTGAAATAATCTTCCTTGCTCTCCCTAATCTCTTTGTCTCCAAAGAGTCTATAATTTAATGGAGCAGGATGCTTCAAGATATTGCCAAGGCCATTATCTCTATTTGTATTAATAAACGTGCCTCCAAGACACGTCCATATTAACATTACCACATGCACATACTGTAAGACCCATTACACATTGAAGGCACACAAAATGCCTTAGCCCCTACGGGCAACGTTTCAAAGTACTATGCAAAAGAAGAAATAGGTAGGGCATGGCAAACAGACACACACACATGCAAAAAACACTCTCAAATACACAAGAAAGCAGGCTGTGCAACCCATTTGCCAAGCTGTTAGTTTCCTCAAGCAAACAAGTCTGCAGGAAACTCCTGGAACAAGCCAGAGCTGGCCACACAAAAAGTATAACCCCTCCCTTTGGTTGTTACATTGATAATGGGGCAATCCCTGGCCAGAGGGCTTGACGAACAGGAAAGAGGTAGCAGATTTCAAGATTCAGATCATGGAATACCATAGTGAAAGGCTGCCTTCTGGAGCCCAGAAAATACTTATCTCCAGCAACTTCCTCTGCAGTAAATACCCTGACCTAAAGCATAAAATAGACAGTCCAGTGAGACAAAGTCTTCCCCCAAAAGTATAGAATTGTCAGTCATCTGTAATTTGCTTAATAAATAAATGCACAGCAGGTTAATATCAGCACAGACACATTCATCATGAAAGGGCAACAAGGTAAACAGTGAGCACCTCTATCTACCTCGGCAGCCAGCCAGCACCAGTGTGCTTTCTAGGAGATGAGGTTGGTCAACTGCCATCAGACCTACAAGGGGAAACCACCACTGATTTCTGCCATAAATTTTTAGTCTGAGCTGCAGTGGCGAGTTCTTATTCACTATAAAAATACTACAAAACCAAAATGTTTCTTTTATATCAACCTAATACCTTTCCAGCAGTCGTATTCCACCTACTCTACCCTACTCTCTTCACAGATGCATTCATTAAATGAGCCTTGGCTTTAGTTAAGAGCAGATGGATTTGCAAACACTCAAGATCTTGTAGTTTTTCTCCTTGTCTTTCTGCTAATCAGGTTTGTTCCCCTTGCTGGCTCTTAACACACTCAGTAATTCACATCAGGATGCTTCATATCCTTCTAATGCTTTCTGCAGTGTCTGTTCTGTTAGACCAACGCAAGAGGCAACAATGATTCTCCCTAACTTTTCCACACTCCCTTCATGTAGCCTGTTTTGTCACTGGAGTAGAGCCCTGCAACGCAGAGCATCAGCAGCAAGAGCAGTTAACCAGGTAGTTTTTCACACATTCAGCACTGAATTTAGCGATGACAATTACCTCTCTGCCATTTCATATCTGTTTCCTTCCTTTTGCCTCTGACCATTTGGTCTACACATTCTTTAGCATCTCTGTATCCATTCCACCCCTGGCAGACACTGTTCAGGATGGTACAGTGAGTGCTTAAAATACCTGTCTGCTACCAGCTACAGAAGAAAAAATGCAGCCAAACAGTCACCCAAGCAGAAAAAAAAGTGCAGTTATTACCTTCTCCCCTTCAGCTGTAAGAAAGAGATTCTCTGGCTTATTACCAATGCATGGGTCCAATTCTCATCACATGCCAGGCTACCTCCCCCTTTTCTCTTCCTTCCAATTTTACCCTAGAATAGAATTGCAGGTACTTCATTTTCTCAGAAATCTCTTCTGGACATTAGAGAGCTAGGGCAAGAAGCCATGCTAAAATAACCAACCTTTGGGCTCAGTTTGCTCTAGAGAAGGAAGTACCTTCCATGCTTTGCCATTTCCAGGCCTTTCTTTCAAAATCCTTTCTTTTCTTTAAATAACAAGGGGTAGCAGCCAAGTGAAAGCACGGGCTACTTGATCCATTGTTTGGCCCCCAGCCAGGTTCTGCTGGTCCCGCTTTCCCTCTCAACCACTAGTTTTTCTATCGTTCCTGTAATTTGGGGAGATTAAGATGTATAGCCTGTAAATTGGCTAAACTTTTCCAGGCTGTTTTAATGAGACTTCATATAATAGGGTTGGCTTTTTTTTTTTAATATTTTCCTTAACTTGACCCATATGGAAATATAAAGATATATTTTTTAATGTATGCTAGATTACGGCCGACGTTTTCCTCAAATTAAAATCCATGCTTCAGCAGCAGCATACATTTTCAATGATGTCAAATATATTTTTTCAGCCAACTGGCTGGGGTCACCCTTATAACTCAAGTTTAAGTGCGCTGGATAATCAGGAGAACATGCAAGTCTCTGTAGGGCACTGTGATTGCCTCGGCACAGCAGCAGTGCCTGCTCGGGAGCACACAAGACCTATTCTACTCTGAGGCACTCATGGCAGGAGATGCGGCCTAAGACGCGGCTAAAGCTCTGCCTCAGAGTTGACAGCCACATGGTTCACAGCAAGAACCAGGTGGCACCAGCCTGTATCAACATCAAGCCTCTCCAGAGAGATTGCCAGAACACAACCATCATGCTCAGCTATAGACTAAGCTGAAACCAGCAGGCACTTCCCTATTGACAGGTGAGTTTGCCTTCATTTGGAGATGCCATTTGAACCTTGTCAACCATTTGTGTTACCCTTTTGTTTGGACTGATTCCCAGTGGTGCCCACAGGACCTAAACAAGGGCTGCTCTTCACACTGTTCACACCTACACTACTAACGTATTTATTTTCCCCAATACTTTCCACCTTGAGGATAGGAATAAGGGAGGAGTATTAGTTACAGAGTGGCAAGTATTTTGGGCCCACTTCCACCATCTTTTTAAGCCTTTCTTTAAAGCAACTCACACAGCTTGCAACTATGTCTGAATCAGAATTTAAATGACTTTCAGTCAATGTAACAACTTAGAGAAATACTTACCAAATGCTAAGGCAAAAAAGAGAACTGTAACGATTTCCATGTATAAGTCTTGGTTTCTTTTGTAACAACTGTCAACCAAAAACCAGCTGATAATGGAACCACAAGAAACACCGGGCTTTCAGCTTTCATTCAAGTTTGCAATTGGATATTGCATTGTCATACAATTCAATCACAAGTTCCCATTTCTATCAAGAGGAGGTTCATTCAGCTTTCCAAAACAATGTCTTTTGACCACTTGCATAGCTAGCACTGAACACAATCATAGTTTAGGGCTGAAAATTAAGATACTGCCTAAACTTAAAGGTTGCTTGAGAATACTGGTATTGGTTAGGTGTAGAGGCAGTTATCTAGCAACCCTAACAGATGAATTTAAGAGCAAAAAGCCCCCCCAAAACCAACCATCAATTTGCTTACATATTTTATCTTAGGGAGGAAATCCTTATAAGCTATGCTGACACATGATTCTTTTAAAACAGCAGCCATGGCTCCACTCAGAAGATTCAGTGTTGCTATTGTATTAGGTTATTTATAGTGGCAAATCCTTTGTAGTTAATGCATAAACACCCACCCAAACTTCATTTACAGTTGAAATGGCAGGTAATTTAGATAGAAGGGATGATGTTACTTCAGCTGGGAGTCAAAAAGATGATGTGATAAGAGTGTGAGGCTTCTCCTATAAATAAAAGTGTTCAGTCACACCTGGCTCGCCCAAGCCCTCCATCTTCTCATCAGAGCTGTGCTTCTCTCATCTGCCTCCCACTGCCTAATGTTTCATCTTCAGAAAGATTCATTTCAAACCAGGTCTCGCAGACCTCACAGCCTTGAGTAGCACTGTGCAACCCTACAAATAATGGGAGTTAAACAGCCGCACTAAGAATACATACATCGTTGTGCATAACCCCTAAGAGCATTGGCCATGTGCTCCCAAAGGCTCCAGCCCTCAGGTTATTCTGTCCCAGGATGCAGATGACAAAGAGGGGAATTGGGGAGGAAAACATGGCTGAAAGGATCAACCGGGTTGGAAGAGACTTTTAAGATCATCAAGTCCAACCTTTACCCCAAAGGTTTGGATCTGCTGAATACATTTCAAGAGAAAAACAACATTTTGATGAATACCAACCAAGGAAATACAAGTATAAAATAGAAAAATAGACTTTGAGGAAGAAACACCTTCAGGATTTTCACTGAAACAAACATTACATTGCTTATTTTTTGATTCTAAGATGGCACAACCAAAAGCTTCAGGTCGTCAGTGACACACACCTCAGAGACAACAAATGCACAAAAGCCACGTTTGCTTTGAACTTACTGGCTTGTCCTCCATTCTTCACTCACAGGACACCATGCCTCAGCCCCGCGGGCTCCCACAGAGCCGCACAGCACCGCCTCTCCCGCTGCGCCCTGCCGCGCTCGGGCCGCCTCACCGCTACTCGGCGCCTCCGTATTCCTCCGCCCCTCCGCGTGCAGCTTCGCGCCTCAGGAGCGCCTAAGCCGCCCTCGTCCGGTGCGGGCGGGTTTGATCCCGGCAGGGAAGGAACGGGCCCCGCTGAGAGGAGCAAACCCGAGCAGCTCAAGGCAGGTTCAGGACTACTTCAGCAGGTAACGTGTCCCTGTGCCCATTCCCATGGCAGGGATACCGCAGGCAGGCGGGGCGCCTGCACCGGGGAGGGTTTTCTGTTTCTGTGTAGCCTTGTGGCCGGCTCCGTGCAGGCCACCATGAGAGGAGGGAAGGAGGCTCAGGCTGGCAGGGGCAGGAGAAGTCGTGTTGGTGTTCGTGTGTGGCAGAAGGGAAATCCCAAGTGTCATTCTGTTGATTGATGGTATTGGAATCCTGTAAAACTTATCCTTTTCTACTACTGGATCATTCTCAGCTAGGGGATGAGGATGGCGCTACCAGTAGTGTGCCCTATCAGTGGCCCAACTCATGGATGAAGCCAGCAGCTGTCACTTTGCTGACAGCTCCATTGCTGTCCACTGGAGAAGAACAGGGATCAATTCCTTCCCAAAAAAGCAAAACCAGCTTTATAGCATTTTTAAGCTCACTTCTGGCTTAGAGTGATCCAAATAATTTTGTTATCATGAAAGGACCTGTTTTCTGTTCCTGTTGTGGGGAGCTCCACCTCGTCTGCACTGGTGAGGGAAAGACTTGAGCATTCAGACAGCAATAAAGATGGAAACTGAGAGGAAAAGGGGCAAGAATCAAGGTGGTTCCTCATAAATAATTTCATAGGACTAAAATCAGCATGTACTGTGTGCTGTAATGAAATAAAGCAAAACCACAAGAGGTAATTGAGGCAATATCCTGAAAGCGGAAAAATTCTCCCTGGGGTTCCCATTGTCCTGAAGCTTATTTTCATGTGTCTTGCTCTGTATTGAATAACTCACTGCCCATTGATCAGTGATACTGGGTGTTGCAGTGGATAATCATTCAAATATTTACAGATTCTCTCATTAGAAATCCCAAACATCTTTCCCGTGTTTAACATTATGCCACAATGTGCCAGCAGCTGCCACAGCAGCATCACTGATATCACTCCCGGGAAGAGGTGAAGGTGCCATGCAGTGCCTGAATCAAGGGATTGCTTTAGAATATTGTGGGGTAGAACTTGCTTTTCTTTTTAACCTGGTGTTTGAGACATGAAAATCCTGTGTGGTACAGGTGAACTGTTTGAAAGCAGGTTGGTATTAAGCTTAGTGTTCCAACCACTGGTTTGGATGAGTTGATGTAGCCCAGAGATGAATATTAACCATTCTATGATTAAGAGATTAAGGGAGGCAGATATGTGAAGTAGCTGACCTTGAAAACAAGTTGAGATACCCAGGTTTTGGGCTGCAGAAAATTACACATGAATTGCATACTACTGTCCTGTTTGAGGTACTATGGCTTGCAAACGTTTTGGAAGCCAATTACATAATGAACTGTTCTGGACTTTATCAAACAAAAAAACTTAAAATGCACCCTCCCTACCAAAAGCTGCCTCTACACAGCAGCAGAAAATACTGCCTATCAGTTGAAATATGATTGTTCTGCTGTCTTAGGTATATAGGATTAACCCTAAGACTTCCTCTGTGGAAGGATCTGTTGTAAAGAACAACTTCTCACATTCATTTTCTGTACCATAATATCAAATCCTTGTACTTCACTAAATTGAATTTGCAGTGAGCTACACAAAGCAGAGAGGCTGATTTGTAAAACCTCTTCAGCTGCAAGTCCTCCTTGCATGGGAGGGAATTCCCTAATAGATCCAGGGAGCTGATTTCAACAATAGAAAGGAGAGGGCTTTTTGAGGCAATAAGGGGGAAAGAGATGTAGTAGGCACTGGAATAGAAGACAGTGAACTATTGTGTCAACATATCTGGTTTTGCAGTCCTCTACAGGAGTTACTCATTTCTGCAGATTTTCAATGATGACTGCAGGTCCCTGTACCTTATTTCTTCTAGCATGCACAGTACTGCTTTCCTTATCACAGGATCATTCTACATCACTGCAGGTTTGTATCCTCCAAAGAACCAGTCACGTGGGAATGACACAACAAACTAAAGCAAGACTGCAGTTCTGATTAATGAGAGGATATTGCTTTGTTTTAGCTGAGCACCAGAAACATTTCTTAATGATGAGATGTGAAACTGTCTTCCAATGGAACATACAGAGGCCCTATTATTACAGTCACTTGTAATTACGTTGTACAGAATACTCTGCAGGCAGCAGTTCCAGGACAAAACCAAGCTGATATTCTCTCTCCAGAGTTCCTGAACCTCACTACGTGAACCATGCATGTGGGTTAGCAGGTGTGAGAATGCCTGTGATTTGCCAGCTGTCTTGCGTAGGCTGTTCACCTGTGTATAATTAAGAGTTCATGTGTATAACATCTTCAGAACTCTCTGGAAGGTGATAAGTGACCTTGATTCCCACTGAATTCATAGAAATGAAGCAGTTTTCAGTTACAAGGAAGGGTTCCATCTACAGAATCATGGCCCTAATGAAATGTGGGAATGGAAAAGAGCAGCCTTCATTCAGAATTTGAATAGAGCATTGATATATTTATTCCTTTTGGTCATCAAAATTTTCACACTGTATAGTAGTAACAAAGGCATTAAATTTGCAGTTAAGTCTCCTCATTCCATAGCTGAAAAAAGAAACCTCTTCTGAAGTTAAAAAAGATTCTGGACTGTTTCTCAGACCAGCCTTATCTGCTGGCTTCACCTGGGAATTGAAAGATAAAATGGAACTAAAAAAGAGTGTGGTATCTCTAAATTGACCAAGACTCAGATACACAAAAATCTTCCGAAAATGTCACATGTGAGAGTTCCATAAAATGTTCTCAATCAAACATGTCTAGAGAAATATCCAAAGCCATCCAGGTAGAATAGAGAAAATGGTGAAAAGAGGGAGGGGTGCAGGTTTTTAGAGAAGCTAAAATATGCTGAACAGAATAAATCTCCAGTGGGCAACAAAAATAACAAAGATCCAAGTTAGTATTTTTGTCTGCAGCACTAAGTATTACAGAATACCTTGCTTTGGCTGATGACAGGGAAACTGAAGATTTTTGAATACTCAGCCATAAGGATCATTTCTGCTCTCTTTGGGCAGCCCCGGCAATGGTGTGACTTGAAACATCTCTTCTCTGATACAGCTGTACTTGGTTGCATGGGCAAACTTGGGTCTACCCGCCCAGACATCTGGCATGTAAGGGTAAGTACTGTAGGCTCGTGACACCTACCAGTCCTGTCTGCATGTACAACAGGCACTGCAGGGTCATTCCTGATGGAATGTCATCTTGTTGTCCTGGTTTAGGTACTCCGCAGTGTTACTATAATGTGGTTTTCAAGTAGTCATCCAGTGCCAGTAAGTGTTTTCCACAACACCGGTATTGATTCTAATGGAGCCTAGAGGGTAACCCATATTTTCTAGTGTTCATTATGGCACTTCAGGAATGAAAATAGCTCTAGCCAGACTAAACAAGGCTAAATTAAAAGAACAAATGTCCTTTCTATAGGACAAGCATAATAACTTCTAGTTATAGGTCAGTGGAGGAACTGACAGCATCATTTCTTTAGGATACAATGATGTCAGAGTGCACAGCTTTGGTTTGTTGACTGAAGGAGATTTTGTATTCCCATGTATCTTATCGTCAGCACTTTCAAATCAGTTTTATCCTTTTGAGGAAGGGAAGTGAGAGTTGGAGGCTGGGTTTTTATTAGACACAGCTGGTCTGGGGGACGTCATTTGTTCCTAAACCTGGGGCTGACTTTCATATGAAACCCTTAGCAATGGGGGTGGATGCTGGGGCAGGGGGAATCACTTGAAGTAGTTTCAACAGCTGGGGGTCAAATTATAGAGGAAAAGTGGAGAGAAGTGAAATTTATAATCTATAATTTGAAACCAAAATAAGAATGAGACAAGCTTATTTGAAGGACTGGAAGGAAAAGGATGTGATATATGGCCTGATACAGCCAAGCAAAATGAACACTGCCATTGCGCTATTACTTTGCGGACAATCCAAAAAACCAAAAGGGCCTATTAAGGCTGTCTCTGTGGAAATCTAATTAGGTCATACAAACAATCTCTGTTGTTAATAGGAGCCTTTAACCATACATGGATGCCTTAAGAAGGCTGTAGCAGATATAGGAAAGATTCTGATCCATGAAGGGAATAAAAAGTGAATGCAAGAGAAGGAGTAACAGATGAGGAACTGGCATAGGGGAAATCTATAAAGAGAAGAATTAAAGAAGTAGGAGAGAAACACCTAAGAGCCAAATTCTTCCCTAGAGGTGATATTATACTGTTATAGGGACATAATATGCTTTTTTTGTTTGAAGTTAAGGGAATGGAGAAAAGCAAATGTTAGGAAGCAATGCATTTTGAGGGGAAAAAAATTGGTAAGATCTTCCAAAGAAAAGTGTGGGGAAGACCATGTTAAAAGCATGTGCTTGCTTAGAGCGGGTGACTGCCTGTAGCATCCTAGTGAAAGAGATATAAAAGAAAGATTGGTGTAAATTAAAATAGAATTATTAAAAGACCAGTGGTACCACTTCTGCCTTCAGGATGTTATGCAAGAAAGTATGCGGGTCCGCACCCAGTGCAGACTGTTCTCCTTCAGACTACACCACAAAGTGACTTCTTCACCCTTGCACTGAAAGCGTTTTCCCTCTTTACGCTTGTTATCTTCTTTCCTTCCGAAGCTCCAAGGTAGCAAATAACTATTTCACACCTATTACTCTCATTATATCCCAATAATATTCTAACCACCTCTCTGGCAGTGAACCCCACTCCTGTACTTATTATAACTACGTGTTGAGTAATGTTTCTACAAACATATCCTAGAATTTTGAAAGAATTATGGACTTAACCATAGCAGGATACTCTGTAGGCCAGTGAATGTTCAAGTTATATAGCACTGTAGCTACAGAGGGAGAATTTAATATCTGAATATTTGCAGAAAGCTCACACTGAATGGTACAGTTGTTCATAACATACTTGGAATGTGCTGTTCAGTAACCAGTGAGTGTATGGTATTCACATCACCTGAGTCCTGTAACTAGCCCACTTCGGGTGGATTTGCAGATGGGTTATTCACAGCATATTATGAGATTATGAATTATTTACAGTGAGGAATATTACACACCAGCATCTACAAGTAATAATGCATAATATGATATTTCAGAATGTCACAATCCACTTACAAATAGCTCAGTACTATAAAGGATCTAACTCAGTACTCAAAGTCAGAAAGAATCTTCCCCATAGGTTTTTAAGTCTCCTTGAATCACATGCCAAAAGAGTGATGCTTTGAGTCAAGAATCAAGAGTGAAAGTGCCATGATTAAAAATGGCATCTTCAGTAATCATATGCATTTTAATACAGCAATGCATGGTCCTACAGCATTTTTCCAGGATATTTAGCCTTCTCAGCAACAAGCTGTAACAAACCATAGTGTAGTAAATATCTCTACTTGTTACCAGTGCATGTTGCCTCAAAACCAAGAGTAAAGTCAGAATACTGGTAGTCTGAGGAGGAAGCCATGAATTTTTGAAACGGCTCTGAAAAAGGCCTCAATAATGCCAGATACTGAGGCAGAATTTTTTCAAACTCAAACGTCTGAATAAGGCACTACAGAAAAATATCCTCATTGTGGATCACTTCATTCACAACTCTTGACATTTGTTATTGTACATGCAAATGAAGCAGTCAAAGAGCTGCCGGGGGGTTTAGCTTTCCATGAGTGAGCTGCATTTAGACTGAGATGGAACTTGTTTACCGTAAATCTTTGCCTGTTGCAAATAAAACTGCAACAGTTTGCTAACAGGGGTTTAAAAAAGGCCAAAAATAAAAGAATGAAAACTAATATGAAGTATTTATAAAAATGAAGCAATATATATGCTGATCATATACATGCACCCTGTTTATCAGCAGGTGCCACTACATATAGGAAACTTGAGGCAGTGATTTGGTAGCAAACAGAGTTGATTTGGTATTTTATATATGACATCATCATTGCTGGATGGCTCTTTGGAATAAATAACCTCTTCCACATGTCCCAAAGCACACAGCTCCCAATATAAATTTCAATTGCTGTAAGACTCAAGGACGTCCTAAATCACCTTGGGTTAATAAACAGCAGAAATAGAGGAGGAGGTGGATCCAGGATTTGTTTTCATTATTCCACCAGAACTAGTTCAGATGAAGTAATTGTTAAATGCATTAGATACAATGCAGGGCAATCAGGAAGTAAAAACATGAAGGTGGGAGAGATGTTTATATTGGATTTACATACTGAAAACCTGGCAGGTCATAGTGCTGTAACTCATGTATTGCCAGGCTAGGCCTGGAATCATGGAAGCATTCAAGATAAGTTTGAGATTCCTTCATGGCTTAAAGAGCAGTGTGCTTGTCAAGTATCTTTGGAGAGGTCTGTGTTAAGAGAAATTTTTGAGAAGAAAGAGGAAGTACAATATGAAACTTGCATGAGAATAAAAGAAAGCCATAGTAATGTTTGAAAACCAGGAGAGCACTTCTATTCTTACAAACAATAAAATGAATTCCCATGGAGATGATCAGTGACAGACATGCAAAACTCCCACTTACACTTAGCCTGTAATTCTGGAGTATAAATGGTGCCTTTCTCTCTTGCTGTTCCTCTGAATTTAAGGAGACCTGAATAAATGTGTTAAGGCTGAATAACAGAGCAATGCCCATTTAGTTAGAAGTGTCCACTTGTTCTTCCAGGAACTAACAAGTGAAAAAGTGGATCCTTAGCCAATTTATGCTGCACCTCTTCTAAAAGAAGTTGGAATTATTTCAGCGTTATCTTTGCTTACCAATCTGCAAAACGAAATTGTCTTCAGGGATTAATTTGTAGGTGGCACATTTGCATGTAGCATGACCTATCATTGCAACAAAATGTAGACCCTATTCTAGATACTCAGCTTCTGTTTCACTGAAGTTTTGAGTTTTGGATGCAGTTTCAAGCCTTTCATATGTGTGATGCAACACAGAGGACATCAGAGTTGCATTCCCTGAAATTTTGTGAAGCTTGGATTTAGGTATGAATATTGATTAGTTTTCAGTGTCTTAACAACATCTGCGGTCTCTTACTACTCTCCATAGCAGCACAAAATAGATCCCTCCCAACTTAAACACCTTTGGACATTAAATTTACTTAGTGGAAAACTGTGTTTAGTAGAGTCTCCAGAGCCCTGCTGCTCTTCAGGAGCAACTTATTGCTCACAGTTTCATGTGCACCTTTAATACAATTGCTGTATTTTAAATGTGATCACATCCTGCTGAAATGAAGTGGTGCATTTGCTCCCATGTCATCCCACAGGGTTTGAAGTCAGGACAGACACTCAAGAAGAGTAGTGGGTTCTGCAGGATGTTCAAATGTTTTGTGTATTTCTCTGTTCCTTCCTATCAGGTGATGATTTCCCTCTCCAAGTTGACCTCACACAGACATTCCACTTAATTCAGTACCATAAGCTTTCTGAATGCCACTCCATCATCTGCAAAAGAAGTATCTTTGAATAGACAATATTGCCCTTTCCTCACTATCTCTGAATGCATATAGTGAAATGCCATCATGATGACTTTGGCCTCTCAAGAAGAAAAGGGGGTAGTGTAAGTACACAGGTGTAGAGAAATCATAAGTACGTAATATGCAAGTTTTCCTTCCTCTCCCTCACCCTGTGTTTTTTTTTTTTTCTCCTTATAATGGATAATAAGGAAGTATAAAAACACAAGGACCTGGCCTGAGTAGTGTTTTCCTTTCAAGACCTGTAGGGAGACCATTTACAAGGAATTGCTGTATCAGAAAAGCTGAAGTTGGAGCAATCCACCTACTTCCTGTGAAAACACAGCCTCAGCTTGCAAATGCAATGGGAGAAATAACCAGTATCCAGACAGATTTCCCCCCCCTACGTACAGCAGTCCCTCATACTGAGCTGCAACCAAGTTCTCCCTAAAAGTAATACATGTAATACTGCAAAATCCCATGGAGAGTGAACTTCCATGTCCATTGTGCGGCTTTTAATAATACAGTTAATAGCATTTTAGTTCGTGATGGAAGGTTAAAAAGGCAAAACAACCTTGCTAACCTAAATGTTGGGTGGTTCTTTGATTGGTGTCATTGGCATGCCATGTGGCATGCAGCTGAACTGCACCACCAGAGAAGCTGAGGCAGTGCGTTAAACTCCATGCTGTTCCTGCACTTCTGTGTTCAGCCAGGGCAGCTGCCAGAGGTGGAGGTGATCGGGAAGCCATGAATAAGAGACCAGAGGGGAGGACCTGGCACTGTGACATCACACTAGTAAGAGCTGCTTTAAAATGTCTGCCCATGACAGGCAGTTGAGAGACACCCAACAGTTTTATCATAGGATAGCAGAGCACACTGATTTCGCTGTTTAAGGCACACTAATGTCACTGTTTATATGTTGTGGCATGTGCTTGCATTTTACTGCTGTTTGTCCATCCCCTTACTTACCTGCCACACTGAATGCAGTGACTTGTTTCACAAGTTTGCTTTGCACCCATTCTCTGTCAGCTCTATACCATACTTTCCCCAGTAGGGAAGAGTTCCATTTATTTATCCTGTCTCCCAGAAAATACTGGTAGAAACTGGATGTTTTAAAAACTGTGAACAGCAGGAGTTTCATGAGTATTCCACTGAGTAGCCCTCTCAGGTTAAAAAAAAACCCAAATCTTTCTTTTAGGGATTTATGCCTTAGGTGAGCATTTCACCAAGTATTTGCTGTGTAGAAATGGTTCTTCCTGTGCCAGAGCCTTCCCCATCCCCAGTGGCAGAATATGCCACAACCACTGGCACAGTGGTGTTCTGGATGTCCTCATCAGGACCAGCTGTTTCATCTTCACGTTCTAATAACTTCCGTCTTGGTTCTATCTGTATTATAAAGATCCCAGGCCACATGGTACCATGCTTGAAATCACGCATGTGGCAAGTCAAAGTGTCACATTAAATCTGTTGAGGGAGAGACCGTGACAATTGCTTCATAGAAGCAGAAGTACTAAGACTTTTGTAAGTCTTAACTTGTTCCAGGAACAGCGAGAGCCTTGTGTGGCAAATTTTAAGTATGCCATTTGAGACCGGGCTCCAGATTATTAGCAAATGAAAAGACCTGTGTGCTTTTCCATGCCAGCATGGTGCAGTGCCTGGTGCATTGAAGCAACTGAGTTGGTAGATGACCGGTGTATGCTCTCTGACCTCCCAAGAAGACAACCCAAGTAGTCTCTGACAAGCCTCGTCCTTCACACCCCGAGACCTTGCTATAAGCCCTGTTCCTCCACACCAGTCAGGGCAGCAAGAGGAGGGCTGGGACAGAGGACAGCAAGCCCAGGGAAGTTTAGTTTAGCAGGCTATAAATCCCCTTTCCCCTCCTCCCCTCTTTATTGCCTGTCTTTGGAAAACACAATCCGATATAAACCAGAGAGAGTGGAAGCAGGGCAATAAAGCTGTACGGCAGGAGCCCTGAGTGTCGCCGGGGTGTTATATTACTGGCATTCCAAGTGGCTGATGTCAGGCTGCCAGCAGTAGGGCCCACAACCCACCAGGGCAAATTCCCAACTGTCCCTGGTGGCCCTGTGACATCCCTTCTGCTCAGATCCCTTCTCGGTGTGAAGCCATTCATCTCTTCTGGCCTTCAGTATTCCCAAATTCTTGAATTATGGTTTGAAGGGCTCTGGTTTCAAAGCCATTCAAATTGAGCACTCTGGCCTTTTGGCTGCAATGGTTTGAGTCAGGATGTTCTTGAAATGCACAGTGTGTTGTTCAAAATGTGTCACATGTCACTGCCACACAGATAAAGATGTTTCCTGATATTCATGTGGCTGGATTAAAATATATGTGCATTGGCTTATTATTAAAACATCAGTTTACATGAATGTAACTCCTTTTAGATAGGGCCAAGAGTTTCAAAGCTGGTAAGCACTTTTGAGTGGCCTACATGAGGGATGGTTTTCACAGGATGGGATCCCAGTGCTTCTGAAGACCTTTTAAGGTACTGAAGGTACTAACCTTTTAAGGTCCCTTTAAGGTCCAATAAATTTGGCACTTAAAAGGGAGCTTCCAACAGTCTTTGCCAGCACCTGCTGTGAAAAACTGAAGAAAAGACTCTTAACCACAAGGAATGAGGTATAAATATTGCTCAGAAACTCAGACCTAATTCCATTCCCAGGAGCTTGCACAGGTATGATTTCTTGGGGTTAGATTTCTTTCTCTTCAATTGTCTTACATTAGGTGTTTGCTATAAACTAACTTGCAAAGCTTGTATAATTGGTAAAGTGAAAGAAATCTCTGGAAAACAATTAACCCTGCTCCTTTTATGCCACGGTTGCACAACCAATTGAAGTCTGCCTGAGTCATCATGCATTGACTCTTCTGTAACTAATCTTTTTCTCTCTCTTGTTGTTATTGTTCAGAGTTGGTTTTAGCTGGATCTGTTTCTGGACTCGATTTGTTACGCAGCTGTATGAATGCTTGCTGGCATGGTGAAGCATGCTGCTAGGGACAAGAGAATAGAAGGTGAACTTTTTGGGGACAGTCTCCTCTCATGTTGACTTAAGACAATCATATAACACCAACCTCAGAGATGCATACCATGATGGCTTTGTTATCTTCTAGGGTTGCACATCTTTCTGTTGAATGAGTAGATGCAACAAACTCAGACGGGAGATCTAACTTTAGATAACCAAAGTTTGGTGAAGCCAAGCATACCATTATTCATCATTATAAGTATATTCGAGTTCTGAGGAGGACACAGCATCATTCAGCTCACTGAAGCGGTAGATCCTGAATGTATATTCAGAGCCCTGAACTCTAAATTGTGCCCCACTGTACAGATATGACACACAATCTGTGTAGCTCCCAAGGATGTCAGGAAAAGTATCCAAATTAACCTTTGAAGTGGACAATTAAAACACAATAAATCCCTGTGTAGACACTTCCTGAGTATTGAAGAGGCCTTAATTCAGGTCAGTCTCATTTGTTTTGTATTGAAGTAAACCAAATCAACTAAAGGTCCCTTTAATCCTAAATGAGAGTGCCTGTGCAGGCGGGTGGAGGGGGCTTAACGCTCTTCAGATTTAATAGTATTTGATAGCAATTACTTAGAATAATCTCCTTTACGAGGTTTTTGGACACTCCTCTCAAATTCAGTAGCACTGTATAACCTTTTGTTATATTATATGGAATAGTTAAAGATGACATTGAAGAGTTAACACTGGAAATTTAATTCTAAAGGGGTTTCTGTACACGAAATGTAGAGATTTTGAATAGCCAAGGAAACAGGAAAAGGACGTTTGATTATCTCACCATTATAGATACACGTTGCCCTCCATATCATTTATTCTGCATGTTTCTGCAAGTCTGTATAGCACTTGTTTTTAGATCTAAGCTAACTTTAGTTCAAGTGAACACAATACCTTCAAAAGAAAGGCTTTATATTAATGATTGGGTTTCCTGGTAGACGTATGAAGGGAGGTTCTTTTCCATTCTCCATCCAGATGGATATTTAATGAATTGAATATCATACTATTTTGCATGAATATGTAACACTTTCAACCCCGTGATCCCAAAATGCCTTTTAAATGCCAATGAACAAAGCCTTCCCACAGCCACTGAGAAAGTCAGGTAAGCACCATAATCCCAATTTTACAGATAGGAAAGACACGATGCTGAGAAGTGAATTGTCTTGCCTAAGGTCACGCACAAGGAGGTGATGACTACATGGAATAAACCAAATTCTTTTAAATCCCTGTCTTGTGACTCAATCACAAGACTGCTCTTCGCTATTGTTTTATAACAAACCTTTATTCCACTATCTCCCTTTCCAGAAATTCTGCTGTCAATACAGGCCTTTCTGTGGTAGCCACATTGTCTGGCACTATCTATTAAGAAAGATGGAGAAGTTGCTGGTCAGATGGTTTAGTGCTGCCATGGCATTTCAATATGGTGGGTTCTTTCTGCTCCTAATCCATTGTATTAGCTTCTGGCAATTCAAGCACCGTCTACTGAATTGCTAGGGGGGAAAGGTCAATGCATTAAGCATAGCAGATTAATACACTGCAGTAAATCCCAGAACCAGCACTTTAAGGAGCCAGTAATATTTCACACGTGATTGTTCTACCAATTGATTGCACCATCTTGTGAGTGTGTGTGTGTATGTGTATTTCTTTTACTCCATTTACGAGCTTTCCCAAGCTCCCCTGTTTAGTGGGGATTGCTGTGTCCCACACTGCTTGCACTTTGATCAGGGAAATTCAATACCTGAGGTCTGGGCTTTATAGGAAAGCAAGGTCCAGATTAAGGGAATTAGCCACAGTATATCACAACTAATAAAAGAGTGATTGAGCCCTACCACAGTGCTGCCCCAGGGGACAGGAGGAAAAAGGGGAGGGGGGGCAGTTAGCAGAGCGGGAGGAAGACTTGCAGATTAAGCTATGTCCATAATTAGAAATGAATAAACCTGCTATCACATCATGCCTCTTATGGTTCTAGTAACCAAAGCAAGATCTTTAAACAAAAGATTTAAGTTACAGCCTTTTCTTTCTTTATAGATGTAAAATTATTTCCCTTTTCTTCCCTTTCTTCATCTTTATTTTGTTGGTTCTGTTAACCTTGTCTATCCCCAGGTTATCAGTGCAACTAAATTACAAATCCTTTTTAGGAATTCTGTGGAGAAATCAATCTCATATTCCACTGATTCTTATGTTCATCTCACACAGTAATTATTGGGAGCTGCAATTTCAGACACTAGGCATAAGGACGACTAGGAGCTACCAACACTGCCCTTGAATGGATCTTGGGGTTTATCTCGAGATAAGGCTGAATAAAAACTTTATGAATACCTACATATTCTTGTGATGAACTAAATCAAAATCATCAACTTTTCTTTCTCCATACTGCTTCCAAAAAAAATCACTCCAAATCCAAGTACACATTTTGTCCTCGAGCTGTTGCTAGAGTAATTTTGTCTGAAGTTTTTCCCAGTAATATGCCAAGAGACAGTGTAAGATCTACATATCCAAACCAGGAGATAGGAGTAGTTATTATTTCCTAGACAGTTATGGAGGAAAAAGAGAATCAGACTGCTGCATGATCAGTTATTCAGTTACAAAAGTGCTTTGTATAAACTATCTTCACATAGGTTCTGAGCTTCATTTTCTTCAAATTCCCATGCCTTTTTATCCCTGAGTTCCTAATCAGAATTTTCCAGGATTTTTTACTCATTTAGGACATTTGCTTGAACAAGAAGTGGTAAAAATGGTAGGAAAACCAGCACAGTGTCTGGCAGCAGCTTTATCATAAATCCATCTGTGGCTGAGTACACTGTTACAGGTGCAGTTGTACAGAGGCAACCTTGATTTATTTCACATCATCTGAGTACTTCACTTTACATGCTCTTTGTCCATGATATTTGTTTGGAAAATATAAAAAAATAACTAATTTTATGTTAACAGTTTGCCTTTAGACATCTGTTTGTGTAGTAGATTTTGGTGCTTATGAATTTAAATCTGCCACTGTGCAGCCAAAGAATTTAAGCACAGACCTTACTTGACTGTAGTGTGCTTTAGGATCTTCCATAGAGTCAAGTACAGGGTTAAGTGCTTCAGTGAATCACAGCCACTTTAAATTAAACTATACCCATAATGAAAGGAGGAACATGTGTTACTTTGAGTCTTGGAGAGTTTTAGGATTTCTGTGTGTTGAATAAATGTCAGCATCCTCTCCAGTGACAAATTCCTCTTTTTTATCATATCTCTTCATTTCAATACTCCTTAGCGCTCCAGCATGTACAATGGTTACTACTGAAGCCAATGGAAAGATTATGTTGAACTAAATACATATTAGATTGGGTTCCTAGAATCCATTTTCACATGCTGTTTATTATTTCAGTTTATTATTATGGTATAAAGTAGATGGATACATAAATGTTCTAATTAGGCTGCTCTGCCTGAAATCCTTATTCATATGCCAGATAATGTATTTTTCACTCAAATGGCACACTAGTATTGATTCGTCACAGTAATGCTTTACAGCGGGGTTTAAAACTTCTGACCATGCACAGTATTTTGAAAGCAGAAGGAATAGTTTTGTGTCCCCTCATGCCTGAGAGCTGATTAAAGGTGCCCCAAGTTTCCAGAAGCCCATAAAATAACTTTTTTTCCCAGGGTTTCCTGCTTTCTAACACTTTTTTTCTTGAAGAGCAGGAATCTTTACACCAAAGCAGACGTTTGTGCTCGTCACATTCTCTCTAAAGAAAACTGGGATCCCAGCCTTGTTAGTTTTGGTATAATTCCCAAAGGTGATTAAAAAAATGAAGAGGAAAGAATGTTAAATTCAAGTTAGAGTATGTTGTGAAAAGCTATCAGGAATTCATGGACAAACGGCTGGTTGATGTGAGCAGAAGATCATGGTTAAATATCAGTTCCTAGAAAGATTCTTTCCTGACACACTCAAGCCATCTCCTTGTCTGTCAGGAATGGGCTAAAGTAAAGAACAAAATTATACGTAATAGTTGAGAAAGAGATGGTGACAGCATCAAAATGTTTTAAGCTTGCCTGAGTATGAGCAATCCCACTGCACTATAACACAAAAATGAAAGTCCTCACTAGGATATTTTATTTAAATAACATCGGCATTAATATAGATACATTCACAGTGTTGTAATCACTTGCTTTTCATGTTGGGAAACTCCTATTTAGTGATTTTCTGTTATGTAGACTGGCACAGGTTTTACCACTCTAATTCCCCAGTATCACCCATGATTCCATCACTGGTTGAAGTATGTGCTGGTTTGGACTGTCTGCTTTCAGCATCTCATTATTCACCTTCCAAATAACACAGAAAAGAAAGAAAACCCACCAAACCTACTTAAAAACAAAAGGCATAGTTGTCATATCAGGTGATGCCTGTAAACACAATACCCTGTGCATAGATGGATCACAGATCCTTGGGCAACATGCTCTAGTGTGAGGCGCCCCTGTTGGAACTGGCTGGCCTTAGGGTCCTTTCCAGCCCAAGCCATTCTGTGATTCTGTGTCCTGGGTATCAGTGAGATAAAGCTGTCAAAGGAAGTCATGTCAATAAATAAATGTGGAAACTTGTTTTAGAAGCTCATTTTAAATCATAGAAATCAGAGCAATAAATGCTCTGATTTCAAATGCACATGAACTTAACATCCCAGTCAAATCCCTCATAACTCTCCAAGATACAACTAGTGTAAGCATACTTCAGTCCCAAGACTAAAATCTTAGGCATAATTTTGTTCCATAGAAGCCAAACTCCAGGTTATCAGAAATACCTCAGTAAGAGCCAAATACAGAAAGTCTTCATGTACACATTAACTTCTTTTCTATTCACAGACTTCAAAAATTGGATTTTTTCACATAAAACAAAGCAGCACCCACTAGCTCTTAGTTGAATACTAAATGAAGCTGCTGAAATGCAGAAGGTATGACATTCATTCAGTACAGGATTGCAAAGACAGCAGTTTTCCAACTGCTCTGATACTTTTTTCCTACCCACAAACAACGCAGAGGGTGAAGGCTGAGCTGCTGCTGCATTAGGCTTTTATGCCTGCTTCTATTCAAGCGAATGGTAAAATTCTGGTATATTTGAACAACGTAGGATCAAGGCTGGGAGACCTGATA